GATCTATTTTTGCTTTTGCTTTGTCTGAGATCAGGATTGCTACCCCTGCTTTTTTTAACTTCAGCTGAAGCATAATATATTCTGCTCCAGCCTTTTACTTTACTCTGTGTGTATCCCTCTGTTTCAAAAGTGTTTCTTGTAAACAACATACTATAGGCTTATGGTTCTTAATCCACTCTGCTATCTGCTTCTGTTTTATGAAAGAGTTCATTATATTCACATTCACAGTTATAATTACTATCTGTGTCTCCATCCCATTTTCCCCTTGTTTGTACTTTTTCCTCTCCTTTCTCTCTGTCCCTCCTCTCTAAAGTTTTGCCTTCAACCACTGCCTCATTCAGTCTGCCCTCCCTTCTATCAATCTCTTCCCTTTTCTTCCCCTTTACCCTTATGACTTCTTCCTTCCCTCTATTCACCCCCTCCCTTTTCTTTTCCCTACTTCTTATAGGGTAAGTTAGATTTCTATATCTAACTGATTATGTTACTCCCTCTTTGAACTAAATCTGATGAGAGTAAAGTTCAAACAATGCTCATCTCTCTCCTTTCTTTTCCTGTACTGGAATAGGTTTTTGTGCCTTTTCATGTGATGAAATTTACCCTTGTCTGCCTCTTTCTTTTCTCTTCTCTCAGTACAATTCCTTTTCACCACTTAATTAGACTTTTTTATCATCACATCAAAGTCAACTTATACCCACACCCTCTATGTACATCCCTTTTAAATGTCATAATAACAATACAGTTGTCAAGAGTTACAAGTGTCATCTTCCCTTGTAGGTATGTAAACAGTTTGCTCTTATTAATAACATGTTTTTTTTTTCTTTCCTGTTCTTTTTATGCCTCTCTTAAGCCTTGTATTTGAAGATCAAATTTTCTGTTGAGCTCTGCTCTTTTCATCAGGAAGGTTTGGAAGTCCCCTATTTCGTTGAATGTCCATCTCCTACCCTGAAAAATTATGCTCAGTTTTGCTGGGTAGTTGATCCTTGGTTGTGATCCAAGCTCCTTTGCCTTATAGAATGTTGTATTCCACACCCTACAATCTTTTAATGTAGAAGCTGCAAGGTCCTACATAATCCTGACTGTGGTTCCATGATATTTAAATTGTTTCTTTCTGGCTGCTTGCAGTATTTTCTCTTTGACCTGGTATTTTTGGAATTTGGCTACTATATTCCTTGGTGTTTTCAATTTGGGATCTCTTTCAGAAGGTGATCAGTGGATTCTTTCTTTGACTATTTTACTCTCTGGTTCTAGGACCAGTCTTCCTTAATGATTTCCTGAAAGATGCTGTCCAGGCTCTTTTTTTCATCATGGTTTTCAGGCAGACTAGTAGTTTTTAAATTGTCTCTCCTGGATCTATTTACCAAGTCAGTTATTTTACCAATGAGGTATTTTATGTTTTCTTGTATTTTTTCATTCGTGTTTGACTGATTCTTGATCTCTCAGAGTCATTAGCTTCCACTTGCCCAATTCTAATTTTTAACAAATTGTTTCCTTCTTTTAGATTTTGTACCTCCTTTCCCATTTGGCCAATTATACTTTTTAAGGAGCTGTTTTCTTCATTATACTTTTTTTCCATTTGGCCAATTGTATTTTTAGGGACTTGTTTTCTACAGTTAATTTTTGTCCTTTTTCCAAGCTATTGACTCTTACATACCTCTCATTTCTTGCCTCAATTTTTCTTCGACTTCTCTTATTTGACTTTTAAAATCCTTCCTGAGCTCTTCCAAGAAGGCTTTTTGGGCTGGAGACCAGTTCATATTCAGTTCATATTCCCCTCTGAGTTTTTGGATGTAGGTATATTGACAATGTTGTACTCTTCTGAATTTGTGCCTTGACCTTCCCTGTCTCCATAATAAGAATGTATGGTTGTTGTCCATTTCTGCTTTTTGCTCATGGTGTTTGCCTATCTCCTGACTTTTAAAAAAAGTTGAGCTCTCTTGCTGGAGCACAGAAGGCACTGACTCAAAGTTCTTGTACTAGGAGACTGGGACCTAGTCACTGGCTTTGTGAGCTGGGGCCTCAGGGGCTAGAAGTTGGAGGCTGTAGGGTTCTGGTAGTTTACCTGGTACTGGGCTGGGGATGCAACACTAAAGCTCTTGGGATGGGGATGGGGAGTCTGGCCTCTGGGGGACGCCTGCTCACCTGGGTCTTGCACTTGAATGTTTAGCTGCTGTCAGCCTAGAGCTTTGCTTCCTGGAGCTGTGGTTCCTGGAATTGTGCTGAAGCACCAGGAGATATGGCTGCTGGAGAACTCTGTCACAAGTGGTGGTTTTCTGAGCTGGTGTCTACCAGTTCCACTGCCTGTACTGAGGTACTCTGGGGTGGGGGGGTCCTGGTGTTGGCCACCCTGGGGCTCAGAATCTCCCCTTGGTATGTTGAGGTGGGGCTTGCATCGTCCTGTACTGCTCCCCCGCTCCCAGAGCAAGAGGGGCTTTTCCCATTATTCTCCCAGGCTTCCTGGGCTACAAGACCGCTGCACCCTATCTTTCTGCTTGCTCAGCTGTTCCAGGGTTTTTCCTGGGGCAATATTTTCTGGGCTTTCAGAAGCCAATAAGGGAGGGTAAGAGCGACTTGTTACTCCACCATCTTGGCTCCCTAAAACAGAACTTCCTTAAGTCTCAACATGTATGCATTCCCTGACTGCATCCTGCCCCTATTTAGCCCAGAAAAATTTCAATGGTTGGCTATCATTTGACCCTGGATACAGCAGGAGACCTTGACTTTTTTAAGCTAAGTAGTCTTCACTGAGCCAACACCTATGCAGTGATTAAGACTAGGTAAGAAATGAGGCAGAGAACAGCCTATTTTACCTAGTCAAAAAGAAAAAAAAATCATTTTGGGAGTGGAAGACCCTTAGGGTTTCTGGACAAAACAGAAACAACTGCTATTTACATTCACTCTGAACCAATCTCCAGTCATCCTGATCCATATCTTGCCACTGGACCCAGATGGCTCCAGAGGAGAAAGTGAGACTGGTGACTTTGCACAGCCCTCCCTCACTTAAATCCAATTCACTTGCAAGTCATGACATCACCTCCCTGATGTCATGGTCCTCTTTGAGAAGGAAAGACAAACAACAACATCTGTAAGTAGTAGTAGGAGCTGCCTCACTGGGGACCCAACTGGTACTGGCCAGTTGGGCAACACAGCTCCTTCCTTTTAGTGACTGAGTGAAGAATGAATTGGAGTGTGGAAAGACTTGAGGGAGGCAGACCAACGAGCAGGCTATTGCAATAATGCAGACATGAGATGATATGGGCCTGTATAGAGAGGTGACAGAGTTAGAGGAGAGAAGGGAAGCATTTGACAGATGTTACAAAGGTGCAATCAACAACCTTAGGCAACAGATTGGATATGGGGGCTGAGAGACAGTGAGGTCAGGACGACTCCTAGGTTGCAAGCCTAAAGGACTAGGAGGATGGTGTTGCTCTCTGCAGCAACAGGAAAGGTGGGCAAAGGGGGCAGCCTTTAGGGGGAAAGATAATGATTTGTTTTAGACATACTGAGTTTAAGATGTCTATTGGACATCCAATTTGAGACGTCTGAAAGGTAGTGGGAGGTGGGAGACTGGAGGTCAGCAGAGAGCTTAGGGCAAGATAGGTAGATTTAAGACTCATCAACATAGAGATGGTAATTAAATCCATAAGACTGCATGACATCACTAAGTGAAGCAATATAAAGGGAAAACAGAAGAAGGCCCAGGATAGAATCCTCAGCGACACCAAGAGTAAGAGGCTGTGAGCTGGAAGAGGATCCAGTAAAGGTGACAGAGAAGGAGTGCTCAGATAAGCAGGAGAAGAACCAACAGAGAGTAGCATTCTGAAAACCTAGAGGGAAGACAGTATTGATGAGAAAGTGATGAACAGTGTCAAAGGCTGCAGGTCAAGGAGAATGAGGGATTGAGAAAAGGCCACTGGATTTGGCAACTATGAGATCATTAGTAACTTTGGAGAGGGCAGTTTTGGTGGAATAAGGTCGGAAACCAGACTGTAAGACACTAAGAAAGGACTGAGAGAAGATAAAGTGGAAGCACCTATTGCAACAGGGAGAGAATGAAAATATTGAAAGAGTGGAGATGACAGACAGGGTAATCTTTTGGAAAAGAGATTGCTTCTACAGTTAGAGGGGCTGTTAGTCTTGGAGAGCTACTTACTTGTGTGAAAGCTAGGTGAAGGAGAAGAATAGTGGCAGAAGGCATCTGAACAATAAGAGTTGAAGAAGAAGGGAGAAGAGAGATTTCACAGTAAATGGCCTTAATTTCCTGTAAAATATAAGGCAGAATTCTTGGCTGAGAGGGTACAGGGAAAGGAGTCATAAGAGCTCTGAGAAGGTTTAGAAGAGCCACTGTGGAGAGCAGGATAGTAAGATGATAGAACAGGTACAGCAGGATTGCCCAAACTGAAGTTGTGTAATACAATTTATCAAAGACCCAGTCAGAGAAGTTGCATGATTTTCTATATCTTCATTCAGGAACAGGTATGTAGGAGTGAAGGTGTCAAATAGAATAATAATCCAAGGCAGATGCTTGGCTGGGCGTAATTGGGAATATTAAAAGGAATACACCAATAATTCCAGAGAAGACAACTCCACGTATATTTTTTTTTTTGCTAGGCAGTGGAGTTAAGTGACTTGCCCAGAGTCACACAGCTAGTGAGTGTTATGTGTCTGAGGCCAAATTTAACTCAGGTCCTCCTGACTCCAGGGCCAGTGTTCTATCCACTGCGCCACCTAGCTGTCCCTCCACACACCTTTTCAGCAATAAATTCTCAAATCTCACATCTTTGTGGTCAGAAAGTTCTGCTGAATGCCTAACCTATACCACTCCCACCCTTCTTACTCTGCTCTTTATACATTTGACAAGTATTAGAAATGGGAAGCATTTGAAAAGGCCATGGGTTAAGAAGACACTTCTCATTAATGTTTTCGTGCAGTCCACAGGTTAAGAGGGAAGAAAAGAAATCAAATACCCTTGGGGGAACAGACCCTCTCATACCCCACCTCACCTTTGTCCAGGAGCTGGTTGAAGAGCAGTGTGTTGGAGAAGAAAAAGAGGTAGGCAAACATCTGGGAGGCAATCTCTGGGTGAACCTCATACTGCCGGAGGAGGTCCAAGGTGACCTGATAGATGGACACAATACGTCGGAGCTCCTCAGGCAGTTGCGGGGCTGAGCACCAACTTTCTCGGTTCTCCTTCTGGAAAGGGATACACTCCAGCAGAATGGGCAGAGAGACGTACAGAGACTGCAGAGGGGAGAAGAAACATAAGCAACTTTTTCAACCTGCCTATAAACAAATTGTTGAGATTTAGCCTAACCTTAAATTTCTTCAAAGATCAACTCAAGCACTATTTTCTGCATGAAATCTTTCTTAATTCACACCTCCGTCTCCAACACATACAATTTCTAGGGTTCTCACTCCCAAACTACTTATATTTAATCCTATAATTGTACATAATGTAGATAGATGGTATTGTAGATAGAATGCTGGGACATGGAGTCAGGAAGACTGAAGTTCAAATCCTTCCTCAGATACTTAATAGCTATGTGACCCTGGGCAAGTCACTTAACCTCTCTCAGCCTCAGTTTCTTCATCTATAAGACGGGTATTCATACCTACCTCCCAGGCTGGTTATGTGGATAAAATGAGATAATATTTGCAAAGCATTTTACAAGCCTTAAATACTATATAATGCAATATAAATACTAGCTATTACTCACTATATGTATATGAATGCATGTGCATGTGCTGTACATATATACTCCTCTCTCTCATTTAGACTGTAAAATCCTTGAGAGCAGGGACTGTTTCCTTCTTTGTTCTTGCATCCGCAGCACCATGAACACAGTCTGGCACATAGAAATCGTTTAATAACTGCATATTGATAGAGTGAGAGGTGGAATTCAGAAAAATAAATCATAGATTTAGCACAACAGAGAGATGTATTCTGGGAAAAGGAGCTAGGGAATATTCCACTAGTTGTCATGACAGGAGAGAAGGATCTAAGTTTGATTTTCCAGGGGAAAAAAAGAGCATACTTAAATGGGATTTCCCAACATTAATTTCTAATTACAATGTTATAATCCTGGGATAAGCAGAAGCATTTCCTTCTACTGAGTTGAACCAAACCATATAAATAAATACCCTGAACTGAGTAACCTAAATGAAATTCTTACTAACCTGTCCTCCCCTCATGAGGTACATCAGTAGAAATATAAATGCTGTTTTATTGCTCTTTCACTATTCATCTGGCATAAACAATTAATAAAATGAGACAAGTTGTTATTTCCAACACTGAATCCCTGCCAAGAGGCTATCTATTTGATCAACTAGACTCAAAGTAGGCAAAGGGTACCATGTGGCTTGCTTGAGGGGATAAAGTCTGATACCAAAGAGAGGATGGAGAAAACATTTATGTCATCAAAAGTATGGAAGTTCCACAGAGCATTGCTTAGAAAAATACTATGCCAATAAAGAAGCAGCTTATTTGGTTATATAATTTAGCTCATATCCCCAACATCTTTCACACACATCCTTTCTCTCCTCTGACACTTACACCACTCAATGCAAACTTCCTTAACGTGAATGCCTAGGCTACCTCAACAGCCTGCTGGTGGGTCTTCTTACCTCAAGTCTGTCCCTACTTTAATCCATTCTCTAATCAGCCACCTAAGTGATTTTTCCTAAAGCACAGGTAGGACCCTGTCACATCTTCTATTCAATAAGTTCCAGCAGATACCCTACCACTTCTAGGATCAAATATGAAATGCTATTTGGCATTCAAAGACCTTTATAACCTAGTCCTCTCCTACCTTTCTGGTCTTATTACATCTTACTCCCCCCACCATATACCCTTTGATCCAGTGACACTGGCCATCTGGCTGTTTTATGAACAAGATATTCCATTTCTCCACTCTGGACATTTTCTTTGGTTGTCCCACAAGGTTTTCCTCCTCAAACTCTGCCCACTGACTTCCTTGGCTTCCTCTGTGTGGTCAAGATACTAGAAGACATCCGGCCTTCCAGAGTTAAGGCCTAGTAAGCAAGCTGTCTCTTGAACTTGGCATAACAACAATCCTTTGCACTTACCTTCTGGATGATCTCACCCTCTGGCAAAATCATGTAATTTTTGTGTTGCTTTGATATTATACTAACTATTTAGATTTGGCGGAGTTTTTCTATTTCCCAGGGACCTGAGAGCTGGCACTGTAGCTGACATACTGCAGCAAAAAGTGATCAATCACATCTCCTGACACTGAACAATCCCTGAACCTGTAACTGCTAAGTGAACTGAACCAGGTGTTAACACTCCTATTCCCACCACGTTAACTCTGGTTCTGTACCCCAATGAATGATCACAAGGCTCAATGATCCTTTAAACTTGAAGCAATCACAGGGCTCAATGATTCTAATAACTTGGGGCAGCAAGGTGGTGCAGTGCATAGAGCACTGGCCCTGGATTCAGGAGGACCTGAGTTCAAATCCGGCCTCAGACACATAACACTTACTAGCTGTGTGGCTCTAGACAAGTCACTTAACCCCAACTGCCCCGCAAAAAAATAAAATAAAATAAAATAATTCTAATAACTTAGAGACTGTTCCCACAGGATCCAAGAATCCCTGTACTATCCCAAAAAATGCCAACAGTGGGAATTTTCTACTCAAGACCTAAGAATAACTGTGTTGGGTCCTGCCTTTTTGTGGTTTTCATGCTTGAAAACCCTACCCCTGCCATAAGCCATATGCCCTTGTTCTCAAGAGGACTTCCACTCAAAAGCATTTTCCTCACTTTGAAACTAAACTTTTGTTTGATTCCTGACTCTCCTGTCTAGCCTGTTTTATTTGGGTCTCACCACCCACAGATTAACCAGTTCCAGTTCAGTTGACAGTGTTCCACCTAAAATCCCATGTTTTACTGGAATTCTTCTCTAATGTCTCCTAATTTCAGTACCTTCTCTCTGTTAATTATTTCCTATTTATCCTACATATAGTTTGCATTGCATATATTTGTTTGCACGTTGTCTCCTTCATTAGATTGTAAGCTACTTGAGGACAGGTACTACATTTTGCCTCTTTGTATCTCCAGAGCTTAGCACAGTGCCTGGCACACAGTAGATGCTTAATTTACTGATTAATATTTGAGTTTTTCAATTTTCTACTCAGAGGTTCCCAAACTTATTTGGCCTACCACCCACTTAAAAAAAAAAAAAACTGCTTAGTGCGACCCTAGAAATCTTTAACCATTTAACAGTTTTTTTAAAATTTGTGTCATTTCAAAAAATTATAAAAATTTTTAAATGACACATCTTAAATGTAGCAATTTATTATAAATTTGTGGTATTTTCCTGCATTGAAATTTTGATGACTCAATATTGCATCATGTAACCACATGGTATCATATTGTAAACAAGTCATTATACACACATATTCCTGCTGATGCATGCTGGACTTCCTGACAATGCACAACATGCTTGCCTGCCAACACTTACTTGTTAAGACCTGTCTGTGTACTTGACTACTGATTGGTGGTTATAACTTGCATTCTGTGTGTTTATTTGGAAAATAATGTAAAATAATAGGATTTTAACTCTTACACAACAGATGAAACATGTACAACAGCTTTTCAAAATTTTCCTATCTTCTCTTCTTTCCTTATGCTTCCACTGCCCCCTTATTTTTATTTAAAGGCCCCCAATTGCACATGAAGCTACTAGTACTCCCCTGGATCATTCCAGAGCCCCCTAGGGGGCAGTACCACCCACTTTGGGAACCTCTGGTATAAATAAAATTTACTGAGCACTTTTGGTAATCTTGTGACCCTAGCCAAGCAGCTCTTTTGGAGAAATGGAAAAAGAAATGTAAGAAAATACCAACATGTTCTACCTGATTTCAAAGGAAAAAACATCACTCAGAAATCCACCAGTCAGGTTTCGACTTCCAGGAGCCAAGACAGTAAGTAACAGATCGCCCTAACTCTCCCATATTCACCTCCAAACAACCACAAAACAGCACCTCAAAACAAATCCTGAAACAACAAAACCAGCAAAAAGACGGAGTGAAACAATCTTTTAGCCCAAGAAACTTGGAAAATCAGCAAGAAAGGTCTATCTTACTTGAGCAAAAAGGGAGCACAGACCAGGATAGGAAGCATCTGAACAAGCCAGCAGCAAGCCCCACCTCAGGAAATCAGTGGGACATCCTGAGCCCCAGTATAGTGGAGCAGGCAAATGCCAACACTAGGACACCTCACATGCCTAAGCATAGCTAGCTAAGGGAACCCGCAGACTCCAGCTCCAAGAACCACCACATGCTTCAGCACAGCCCCAGGCAAACAGGCAGCTTCCAGCAGCCAGACCTCTAGGTGCTTCAGTGTAGCCCTGGGGAAATGCAGAAACACCCCACCTGCCTCAGCACACACTAGCACCAGGGCCCCAGACCAGCACCAGGTAAGCTGCCAGACCTCTATGGCCTCCAGCAGTGCTAGCGATTCCCCCCCCACACCCCTTCAGGGCAGCACCAGACACAAGGGTCCCCTGTGAGCCTCAGGGCAACATCAGTACAGCACTAGGTAAACAGCCAGGGCCTACAGCAACTGGCACAAGAAGCCTGAGACAGTGCCCCTGCCACCCTGGGAGCAGAGAGCAAATTTAAAAGAAAGGAAAAAAGCCAAAAAAGATGAGCAAAAAACAACAAAAAAAGACTATGACCATAGAGAATTATTATGATGACAAAAAGGACCAAGATACAAACTCAGAAGAGGACAACAATGTCAAAACACCTAATGAGAAAAACCCAGAAGAAAACTGGGAAGTAGTCTCAAGCCCAGAAAGAACTCATGGAAGAGCTCAAAAAGGAGCATAAAAATCATGTAAGAGAGGTAGAAGAAAAGCTGGGATATGAAATGAAATGATGCAAGAGAATTATGAAAAGAGTCAACAGCTTGGAAAAAGAAAATGACTTCAAAAAGCAGAATTGGTCAATTGGAAAAAGAGATATAAAAATCCACTGAAGAAAACAACTCCCTAAAAAGTACAACTGGCAAAATGGAAAAGGAAGTACAAAAGCTAACTGGGGAAAACCATTTCTTAATAGTTAGAATTGGGCAAGTGGAAGGTGATAACTCTATGAGACATTGTAAGAATCAATCAAATTCAAAAGAAGGAAAAAATAGAAAAAAATGTAAAATACCTCACTGGAAAAACAACTGACGGGGCAAAGTGGCACAGTGGATAGAGCACTGGCCC